GGATGCAATAATCGCATGCCAATGTGCATTGGCTTGTTTAGTTTACACGCGAAGTAGATTGGTCCCTCTAAGCGAGATCCCAATTCGTCGGTCCTCCGACGTGACGTCTCCGTTCCCTCCTTCAGGGAACGAGGGCTACATACGTAACCGAGACGTTCAAAATAACTACAAAATGTCATGCCTTTGAAAATTAAAGAGAACAACTGAATGCACTGCTTTAGCGCGTCTCGGTGTCCTTGAGCATCTTTCTGGCTCATGCCACAAACATGAACCACAGGGAATACTTGTCTTTTAAAAGGCTTCATTTAGATTATTTGACGTTAAATGCATCATATAAGTCACTTTGAAATAAATCACAGTAGGCCTATGTATCATGATAAAAAAAAAGACTTTACAGTCTGGAAATACTTTAGGCTATAGCAAATTATTTCTCGTACCCCCTATTACTTTAAGAACCGCTGGTCTACACAGAAGAAAGACCTGTCTAGACTCTGCCCCGGTACGAGCTGTTTTCTCATTTTTCTACTTTCAATATTAAATAAAAAAAGTAATGATCAAGTGATACACGGATTTAAACGGACCTGATTCATTAGTTTTTTTGATTTAACTACAATTTAGCTGGATTTTTTTGTATTTTTGTACATGGGTAAAAAAATTTGAATATACTTATGTATTTATATAAGTATATATATTTGTTTCGAATGTGTGGGCGGTGCTGAAATGCCCCTTTTGTCCCCCATCTTCTGTACTACACCGTATAGTAAACCACGAGCGAGTCACCATTAAACGGCTATCGGGATGCCACCATGGCCACATCAAAGAAACATAGGAGGCTTCTCAAACAGAAGAACACATCCTTGTAAGACTGCATATCTAGGCTGCCACGTCATCGAGCCCCATCGAAGGACATCTCAATTTGAAGGATTCTTAATAGGCAGTCTTCGTTTTGCATCCTTCATTCGGCCTGTTTTGATCAGGTGTATCCTTAGCGTCCTTCAATCACCCACAATCCATTGCACACATTCAAACTCATGAAAAATAATCAGCTGAAGTTAATTAGTTGAAGGCATTATGTTTTCTTTTTTGTTTAGTTGTAAATGAATCACATAATGCTAAACTGTGCATAATGTAAACCACTGGGAGACCAGACAGTTGTCATTACCTATGCTGCATTAATAGAAAGTCAAATAATATAAAAAATTTCAATATAAAGTATTCTTCAAATTATTATTTTAATAGTATTTTCTTGCCATGAATGTAGGGGCAGGACTGGACTAGGAAGCATGCATCCTCACTAGGATGCATCCTTCTGTTTGAGAAGCATCCATAAAGAGGGCCGTTGAGTCATAATTATTCTGTTTGTCTCATTTGCCAAGAGACAGTCTCCATTATGAACAGTGTTGGGGAAGCTACTTTGAAACTGTAGCTTGAGAAGCTGCAAGCTACTCATAATTTAAAGTAGTTAAGCTACAGTCAAGCTACCCTTCTGAAAAAGTAGCTAGCTACACTACAAGTAAAAGTAGCTAGCTACATTGAAAGTACTTTTTTGTTCACAATGACATATCACAAATAACTGAATAAGCATTCATGAGGAATGTTTTAAGAAAATATTTGGTATTTAAAACAATGCTATACAATTATGATGTCAAAGATTATTGTTTTATTACTCAAATATCTCAGACTGTCAAAAGTCAAAGTGCAAAATCGCAACAAATTTAGCATTGCAATAACAAAATGTTACTTTTATTTAAGTAACTTAAATTAAGCACACAGAAGCATTTTCTCAAAAATACTGTGTGGCAGATGGCTGCATTATAGTAAGATATTATATTGAACTCTGAACAACCACGCACATGCAGCGAGACAGCACTAACAGGTGTGGTTTAGGGCTGCACGATTTGAGGAAAATAATCTAATTTTTCTGGTTAAAATTACGATTTGTGATTTAAAATGCGATTTTAAAACGAATTAACAAAAACAAACAAACAAAAAAACAATATAATATGGTTGGAGCTAAGATGTGAGGAAAGGAAGCGAGGGACAAAGGCATCCAGCTGACATCACTGTAGATGAATAAAAAGAAGATAGAAACGCTTGAAATGATTAACCCCTTAAGCCTGAGGTGTACCACCGGCTGTACATTTTGTGTTTTTTTTTTTTTAAAGTGTGAAAGTGACGTGACATGTGGCCAAGTATGGTGACCCATACTCGGAATTAGTGCTCTGCATTTATCCCATCCAAAGTGCACACACACAGCAGTGAACACACACACACCGTGAACACACACCCGGAGCAGTGGGCAGCCATTTTTTGCTGCAGCGCCCGGGGAGCAGTTGGGGTTCGGTGCCTTGCTCAAGGGCACCTCAGTCGTGGTATTGAAGGTGGGAGAGAGCGCTGTACATTCACTCCCCCCACCTACAATACTTGCCGGTACAAGACTCGAACCAGCAACCGTGGGTTACAAGTCCGACTCTCTAACCATTAGGCCACGACTTCCCCATTTGTACAATGTACTGTAATATGTCAGAAACATCATACATCTCAGATCTGTGAAATGTCATTTGAAAGGTCTCACCGAGTAGAATAAAACAAGTATAATTTTTTGGGGGTTTGACTAAACTTGAGCAAGTTTATGTATGAGAAGTCACCCCATACCCATATGAAAATAATATATGGATGCGGCATTTATGTCACTTTATTGCTTGCAACTTCATAAAACATGCTCCGATCGTGACATGATTATTTAGAGCAGATTATCCTGATTAAGAAGAGCCCAAACTCATATAATCCATCATTTATATCTAAAGATATTCCTCATGAATTTATAACACACATAAAACTGCACAGGCGACATGTATAGCTTAGCAAAAAAATTCTAAGGAAGCTTTCATGTGGTGTTTTCTCTTGTAACTTCGTGAAACATGCATGTATCATGGAAAATTGCATGTCATTATTTGCATTAAAAAGAACCCAAACTCCTCATAATTTGTCCATTATATCTAAAGATATTCCTTATGTTGTTATAACACACATAAAACTGCTAAATAAAAAATCAAAAGCTAATTTTCACGTGGCATTTTTGTTCTTAACTTCATGAAACATGCATATATCGCGGAAAATCGCACGTCATTATTTTCTGAAAATGTTCTCAATTAAAAAGAGCCCAAACTCACCATAATCTCTCATTTAGAACTAAAGATATTCCTTATCAAGTTACAACAAATAAAACCCCAAAGGTGAATATGTTGTAACTTTCACATGGTTTTTACGCTTGTCATTTCACAAAACATGCTCCGATCGTGGAAATGGCACATCCTTACTTACAGCAGATTCTCATGATTGAACCGAGTCCAAAATCAAAATAATCCATTGCATCTTTCCTGTGTAAGTAATACCTAAACCCATGAATTGAATAAATAAGTTGGAGAGCTGCATTAAACACTTGGCAAGTAAAATTTAAAATCCAGCATGTTTCTGTCTATTTTACCTTTTTTTTATAACAACTTTTTAAAATGATATATAATTAGGTACCCTTTTAAAGCTTAGAATTTAAATTTTTTGATCAACTCTTAAAGGGGTCATATGATGCTATTTTAAAGATCATTATTTTGTGTATTTGGTGTAACAGAATATGTTGACATGCTTTAATGTTCAAAAAACACATTATTTTTCAAATACTGTACATTATTGTAGGTCCTCTATGCCCCGCCTCTCTCAAACGTGTCGTTTTCAAATAAGCCCCCTCCTTTGACAAGCGCAGTCTGCTCTGATTGGGCACTGAATCACACAGCGTCTCTCTGACATGGCTGCATCGACATTGCTGTTCCTGAAACCACGCCTTCTTTCATTGCGTGCACATTTGGGTGGCATTATGCTAATATTTGCACATAGTGACATAGACATGTGGGGGCGTGTTAGAACGAGCCGTTTTAGGCAGGTGTGGCTGACTCTTAACTTTTATAAAGAATATCTCTTTGGATTTGAGACTTTAGTCTTTGCAACTTTACAGATCTTCTTTATGCACCAAGAGCTTGTAACACTCCAAAGAGAAAGGAAAACTTGAAATCGCATCATATGACCCCTTTAACGAGTGCTGAGTAGTAAAGTGCTGAGTGTACCGCTGGCAGGCGCCCCCTAGCGAAGAAAAAATAATAATATTTTTCAAAACCACTGCCTTGATCAACACAAAATAGGTGTCATTTGAAAGCTTAGAGTCTGAACTTTACAATGCGACTTTGATTATCTCCTAAGTAGTGCTGAGTTATTTGCTGATAAATAGAAATTTTTTTTTTTCAAAATTATGAAATATGTTTTTTGTACCATGTACTCTAATATATAGTCATATGTCATTTGAAAGGTCTCACAGAGTAGAATAAAGCAAGAATAATTGTTTGGGGGGAGGCATTACTTCTGTGTATGTCACTCAGAAAACAGTAATTTCAAAACTGTCAAGGAATACTTCCCATCTACTTTTCATTTAACAAGTTTTATTCAAAGCAAATCATCTACGCTGCTGCATTTACATGCCAAGCATGTTTAAAATGTTCTTTGAAATCTTTAGCATGTTTAACGTGTTGTTTGTTTTTATTTTTCTTTCTTCAATTTTTTTTTTGACTTGACAGCTTTGACTGTAAAATTTTAAACCCTTGTTTTTGTGCAGTGATTGATTGACAGGTGAGTAGGCAGTTGTGTTATATGTAATGTATCAGGGAAAAAGTGACTTTTTACAGCATCTTAAAACGTACACTTTGCCTCCATACAGATAAAAACAGTTTACACTGAGATCTTGAAAAATGCTGATGTCCTTTTGTCAGCTACTCATTTCTGTATCTGATATGTAGATGTTTCCTCTCAGGTGAGTGCTGAGCAGAAGTCTGTTGGGAGCACGTCTGGAATGCATGCTAGTGTGGAGACAAGCCAACTTCTGAAGGTTTTGTCATTTCTGTTTGTCTTTACTGGCATGTGTTTTAGCAATATCACACAAGCAAGTGCTGTTGTTCTGCATACAGTGTTGGGTAGTAATTTATATGTAATCCAGATTATGTAACCAGATTCCAAAAATCATGTACTTGTAATTAGATTAAATATTGTTTTAAAATGCGCTTATTCAAATTATAGTTAATTTTTTAATGAATTACATGATTGCATATTATTGACACAATGGCAGTAAATTATTCATAATTTATTGATTCTCCCTCTTTTTTTTTTTTTTTATATTTCACTCTTTAAAAATCCTACTGTGTATTGTTACATGTGGCTGTAGTATAAAGTGCACAGCGAAGGAGTAGAGTCCAAAGAAGTCATTTTAATAAATCCGCAGGGAGAACAGAACAATCACATGGGTACAAAACATCAAACATAATCAATACAGGACAGCCTAACTGAGGAGAACTCAGGGCTTAAATAACTGGAGGAACGTAATCAGTAAGAACAGGAACAGCAGACCCTCCCGGGAAGGCGCATCCTCGCACAGAACAGTCCAACGGATGAGGGAGGGTGGGGGCTCAGGAGGAGGATGAGGGGCTGGCAACAGAAAAAGGGGACAGTTCATGGGGCCAGGGTGGAGAAGAAGGTGTGAGGAGTCAGGAGCAGGATGAGCCAAATGGAGATCCAGACCGCAGCCAGGACAGCGGCCCATGGTGGAGTCGTCAGAGGGAGGAGCCATGGTGGAGGTAGGGCTGGTGACACCAGGGGGCCAACAGACAAAGCTGGTGGAAGAGGAGCCCAGAGCAGAGACGGAGAGCCGCAGAGCCAGGGTGAAACAGAGGATCCAAAGAGCCACGGCGGCGCTGATGGCTCAGGTGACCAAGGCAGGGATCCGGTGGAGCCAGAGTGGCAGAGGACCAAGGTGGAGGCCGGAGGGATGAGGGAGCCTGGTGGAGCCAGTAGGATGACGGTCCACGGAGGAGACGAAGGAGCTAGGAGCCAAGGTGGAGCCGATGGGTCAAAGGGCCAAGGTGGAGGCCGGAGGCGGAGACGGGATCCTTACGCCAAGGCAGAGCTGGAGACTGGCAGACCCGAGGCAAATCAGAGCGCCCGGATGGCGCTGACTGAGGGTGAGCTGAGTGACTGACAGGAATCAGTGGAGACAGGGTTGAGGAAATGGCTGGTTTTAGGAGAGGAGGTGAGAGAGGGAGGCTGGGAAGGAACACAGGAGAACAGGAGCTGGGCGGAGACGCAGGAGATTCAGGGCTGAGCGTAACCAGCGGAGACGCAGGAGATTCAGGGCTGGGCGGAACCAGTGGAGAATTGGGAATTATCTCCCCAAACCAGTCTATTAAATCCACATTAAAATGTCTTCTAGTTCCTCATAATATCCAGAGGCCAGTTGCAGCTCACCCTCAGTGGCAAGCGTGTGGACAGACGGGGCTTCCCTCCAAGCTGTCGATCTCCACTAGTACATACACGGCGATACACGGTGCTGCTGGCTCATGCACCTGGTCAGACGTGTCTTGAGGCTCTGGTTCCGGGGCGATGATCCGCTCAGTCGCTCTTGTTTGCGATAGCTCGTCGATCGCGGCGTGCTCTGGCCCTCCGTCTGTGGTTGGCTCGGGCAGACGCTTCATATAGCATGATGGTGATAGCTGGCTCGGCTCTGGATCGACGAAATGCAGCGAAACTCCCTCAAGGACCATCCATGGGCAGTCTTGCTGAGGCTGACTTGATAGAAAATACACAACGAGGGGTCCGGGAAGGTGGTGAGATTTGCCAGGTTGATAAAGGTCTTCGTGCGCTCCTCAAGGGAGCGATCTCCCTGCTCCATGCATAGGATTTGGACTGTTGGCAGATCCAACGGGGAGGAGGGAGAAAAAGAAATAAAACAAAACAAACAGAAATCTAAACTTTAGTCCTGTATTCTGTTACTTGTGGCTGTAGGATAAAGTGTAAGTTGGCAAGGGGTCAAGTGCAAAGATGGCAAGTGTGGATTTTGGGACACAAATGAATGGGTGATTCAGTGACTCACTCAAAAAGACTGTCACTTGTTGCCACCTCCCGATGTAACCTGTTATTATTTAACACATTTTTTGCAATCAGAATTTTCATCTGTTGTAATCTAGCAGTGGAATACAAGGGAAGTAATTTAGATTGCTTTAATTTACGTAGGTTTGTAGACAAATAATTTAACCTATTATACTCTTCCACAGTACCGGGCAGATGTTGTGGTCCCCAGTCGTATGGAGGAGATGATCAGGGTTATTCGAGAACGAGACTTTCCAGCATTTGGTGAGCTGACCATGAAAGACAGTAATCAGTTTCATGCCATCTGTCTGGACACCTACCCACCCATATTCTACCTGAACAACACGTCGCACCGGATCATCAGTCTAGTGCACCGCTACAACCAATACTATGGAGAGACCAGGGTGAGTGCAAGTAATAAATTCAAATAATTAGAGATTTAATGTCACTAACCATGCAAAATTTGACAAATCCAGTGATTATTTAATCCTTGAAAGAGCTCATGATTTCAACCTGGTACCCTGTATACACAAATATTGTTTCCAGGCGTACAGACAAAACCAGTGTTACCTTTTGCTCTTGGAAATTGATTTAAATTAGCCAAACACATCAATGCTCACTAGAAAGTTTTTCTGTATGCAATATTCCATCAGAGAGTCAGTGAATGGACTGTGGGTGGTCTGTGAGCATGACACCTGAGTTTGAGACTATCTAAGGAGTCTTACAAACTCTAGAAAAGCCTTGAAATGCCCAAACACAAATTATGTTTATCTAATTAACAGCTTTATAACTAATTGTAAGGAGATTTTAGTATATGTTAGATGCTGTCAATATGCCAGGATGTTGGATCCAATCTATTTAAAATCTTTTATCTCATTAAAATATATTAATTTTGTCTGACACTTTATACCAGTTAACAGTGATTTTGTCTGATATCCAAACTAGTCGTCAAATAACTCTTCTATCAGCATAAGTGACAGAGAGAGGCAGGGTAAAAGCAGGAATCATAAGATATTTTTTACCATCACTTTGAGCAGAGTTTATTAAATAATCTTTAATTGTGTCTTAATGCTCCAGTCGGACTTTGTCTGACGGGTGCTTCACAGCAATTCATAAAGTGTTATTTACACTAAAGAGAAGGCTGCTTCGCATATCGCAATAACCGCAATATCGCAATACCATGCTATTGACGAGCAAACCGCAGAGGGTTATGCCCTTCTCGTTTTACACTTTGTGCATGTATACTGAATATTAAATAAGTTTAAAGAAGTGGCAGTTTTCAAACATCAAAAATGTATAGGCTAATTGGTTAAAAAACCCAAGTTTGCATGTAAAGCATTCAATCAGTCACCATGATGTTACTAAACACACTACCTCTGCAGAGTCTGGTGCTGATGTTGACGTCGCGGCCCTACTTTAAGCCAATCACGAGGGATCAGCAGACGTGATGTTTCATGAGTGACGGGTTTTTAGCGCGATGGATATAATGGATATAATGGATACGATTTTGAACGTATAGCTGTATATCCAAGTGATCACGATGCCAGAGTGGCCTAAATATAAGTTACACATGAGTGGGAGAGTGACTCAACTTTCAAAACGTGAATTACACCTGTGGAGGGAGATGACATGATGGTTCTTAGTTGATATCAATGTAACTCTGAAATCAGAGCACAGTTAAATAATTTAATCAAAATCCAAACTGAATGGGGGACTATAAGATCCTGTCCTGCATCAGAAAGCTGGTGGACTTGATTAGTTTTGACTGTGCAAAGTTCTGTATTATGTTCAGTGTACTTCACGAAAGACGTGATGTAGTTCTGTATGAAGTTAAAGTGCAACACGAAGGTAAGCGCATTACTGTTGATTTTTTGTTACCATATTATCGTACTGTATCAATGAATCACACAGTTTTGACTGTCATGGTGTGTGCATAAACGAGTGTCAAATAACTAATTACGCTGCTTCCGATCACTTATACTGAGCACTTTTTCCATTTAAATTGGTTTATTCTGACTGTTGACACTGAAATAGTGCACGTGTTTTTCATTGAGTATCGGTTAATTTCTTGATTGCCGTGTTGACATAGGCTGGTGTCTACCTGGACATTTCTATTTGGTAATTGTCTTTATTTGTGCTGATTTGATCTGTTTTCCTGGGAAATGTATCTTTTTATATTATTTTGTCATCTTTATTTTGTTTTAAGGAGTTAAAATGGTCCTTATCAGCCTTCATTGACATTGAATTGCAATAAAATTCTATCAAATTATTTTGACAGTTTTTGTTGGAGTGGGCGGGTTTTGGTGAGATTTTGGGCTGAAAATCGTCCACCTGATCTGGCAACACTGCTTGCCGCCACCTTGTGGCGCAACAATCTAACTGCACTGACTGACAGCCTGTCTAGAATGCGCACAGGTGGAAATATCAATAGAAAGTCTCGTGTCCAGTCAGGTTCGAATATCAGAACTAACTGTTATACATGCAGGCTAACAATATCCTAAATATCTTATTGTCAGGTTTATGTTCTGTTATATGGACCGTTATTTTGTAATTCTCTTCTATTTTCTTCACTTCCTGTTTCAACGCTATTTGGTTTTGGTTTCATTGGTTTCTGAATATGACCTCGTTATATCGTGACATACACACACAGATTATATATATATATATATATATATATATATATATATATATACAGTATATATATATGGTGATAATACCGCATATCGTGCCATTGAGCCACTCAAAACACTGCAAGGGAAATTCCTTCACCGCGACAGCCCTATTCGCAAACAACGTATTACTGATCATGTATAGAAAAATTATATAAAGTCAAGATCGAGCTCTGCCCCTGGGCCAAATGGCATCCCGTATAAGCTTTATAAAAGGTGCCCTCAAGTCCTGAAACACCTATGGAAGCTTTAAGGGTATTCTGGAAGCAACAGCAGGTTCCTGCTGAGTGGTGTAGAGCAGTGTCCATCTTAATCCCAAAGGAAAGGGATTCATCCGTCATTGGCCAGTTTAGGAGTATTTCACTCTTGAACGTGGAAGGAAAGCTTTTCTTTTCAGTGATTGCCAAGCGTCTGACCAAGTTCCTCCTCGACAATAATTACGTTGATACAAGTTGTCAGAAGGCAGGTGTCCCAGGTTTCTCAGGGTGTTCAGAGCATGCAACATTAATCTGGGACCAGATCCAGTTCACAAAAAAGGACAAGAAGGATCTTCATGTTGTCTGGCTGGATTTGGAGAACACCTACGGCTCTGTACCACATCAGTTGATTGATTTTGCCCTGGACTTCTTCTATGTGCCTACAGGTGTAAACATCATTCAAAGCTGTTTTGCAAATCTGAAGATCTGCCATTCATAACTACAAAACCAGCTGGCAGAAACTTGGCAGGGGAATAGCTATGGGATGTTCAATATCCCCCATTCTATTCATGGCAGCCTTTGAGGTAATCTTGATTGGCGCAAGGACCATGGCGAGGGCAGCACGAAATAGTGCAGGACTTCAGTTGCCCCCCTTTCGATGCTTGGAGTGACTGGGATATTTCGTATTTATGGTAATTTGGGTCAAATGACTCAAATGGGAATCTAATCCTAAGGATTCGGAATTAACTTTGTAAAATATTAATTCTGAATCAAATATTAACTCTTTTTCAACTATTCGTCCACCGATAAGTTCAGTTTAGAGTATTTTACCAATTCTGTAGCAGGATATTATTGTCGTGGTCATCAATTACAATATCATGCCGTTATAGTTACTGATTATGAGCAAGGTAACTAGATCGACAGTTTAAGGCAGTAACATGTAAGCAAAAGCAAGGCTCTTGTCTGTAAAATCAAACAACACTGTATTGGACTACTCTACTACACACAACTAATCTAACGAACACACACACACACACACACACACACAGCAGTGAAGAAAGGGGTGATGTTACAGAGGTTGACTGGATTCCTGAATAACCAACATTCTACACTATTTCCTAAACTGCAACCTGAGAGAAAGTGTAATACTAGCACTAGGGGTGGGCGATATAGCCTCAAAATTATATCACAATATTTTTACAAATATTTGCGATAATGATATTTATGACGATATAGAAAAAAAACATGGAACAATGTTTTATTGGTGATTGCAGCTGGCAGGCAGCAGCATTTATTAGTGCAAACAAAATGAAGGGCATTTTCCATCCTTTTCCAATGAGCTACTGTCATCGATGACAGACTAATTCGAAGTGTAAATCTATTGTCATAAGGTGGAAGCAGCAGCGTTATAGTGCAATAGTAGTGACTCAGTAACACAGCATGAGTCAAATGTAGCCTTGGTAGTGCTTTCCCTGGAAATCTTGAGTAAAAGTGTAACATAACTCCTTAACACTTTAGTTTAACAATAACTAAAGTAATTTAACATTGTAACTCTTCGGGAGCCTGCACAATATTGTCACCTAATAAAATTGAACTAAAATTTTAAGTACAAATGTGTGATGAGTGGGGCGGGGCCAAGAGCCGCGGGAACAGAGCGAGGCCAGTGTCACACTGAAGCTGTGTGATTTTCATAGTAGTGCACCCTTTAAGCTCACCTTACAATAATATGAAGTCTTTAATAATTACAGCAGTGTAAAACCACAGACCATCAATACATTTTAAATTTATAATATTATGGATTTAAAAGTACAAGCCAGTAATGCCTGTGAAGTAATATATTAGTGTAGCACACAATCTTATACAGCTAGTCAGCTAACTGTGTTCTGTAGCATCTGCGCTGTGTTGCTAAAACTATCTTTTGGATTTAACTGTAATTATTTACAACTTCCAAGTTCCAGGTTATAATATGCAGAAGTCTAAACATTAATCTCTTAATTTTACAGTAAGTAGTGAAATTTACCCAAAATAAAGGCTTAAACATCTAAAAAATGCACATTTAAAGGGCTCCTCTTTTGGTGAAAGTTTTCAGACAGCTTTCAAAATGGCCGCCGGACAGTGTGTAGCCTACACATGGACAGCCATATCTCAGTGTGCAATGATCTGATTGACTTGAAATTACAGGAGGCATGTGGTAACAAACACATCAATACATTAATTTTTCTTTTTATAATCTGAGCTCAAATATGGAAGTGTGCTTAATGGGTACGTGAGCTTAATAGGTACGTTTACCCTATCTTAACAACACTGACAAATTAATAATATTCAGTAGAGGATCTATGACTTCTGGAAGCACCTGTTTTAAAAGCTTAGATGGAATAGGGTCTAACATACATGTTGTAGATTTTGATGATTTGACAATTTTATACAATTCTTCCTGTCCTATAGCAGAGAATGAGTGGAATTGTTCCTCAGGCTTTTTATAATCTGAGCTCAAATATGGAAGTGTGCTTAATGGGTACGTGAGCTTAATAGGTACGTTTACCCTATCTTAACAACACTGACAAATTAATAATATTCAGAAGAGGATCTATGACTTCTGGAAGCACCTCTTTTAGTAGCTTAGATGGAATAGGGTCTAACATGCATGTTGTAGGTTTTGATGATTTTACAAGTTTATACAATTCTTCCTGTCCTATAGCAGAGAATGACTGGAATTGTTCCTCAGGGGATCTATAGTGCGCTATCTGATGCGATACTGTGGCTGACGGCTGCATGGTTATAATTTTCTCTAATATAATATAGTATCGATCTTGGAAGTAAAGAAGTTCATAAAATCATTACTGCTGTGCTATTGGGAAATGTCTGCATCTGTTGATGCTTTATTTTTCGTTAATTTAGCCACTGTATGGAATAAATTCCTGGGGTTGTATTTGTTCTCTTCTAAGAGAGACGAAAGTAAGTAGATTTTGCTAGAAGTTTTTAGAGCTTTTGCTAGAAAAGAGAGAGTCATTAGTTTCTGTTACACCGTCAAGTTTTTCTGAGCTATTGGATATGCTGAGGAATTGAGACAAGTCAGGAAGATTATTTACAAAGCAGTCTTTTGTGGTAGAAGTGATGGTTCTACCATATTTGTAACAAGGAGTTGAGTTTGCAGCTTTAGCTATATAGAGTATACATGAGATTGGATAATGATCTGAGATAGCGTCACTCTGCTGCAGAATTTCAACGCCATTAACATCAATTCCATGTGACAGTATTAAATCTAAAGTATGATTACGACAATGAGTAGGCCCTGACATGATCCCAATGCATCTTTTTCATTATCAACATGGATATTAAAATCACCAACAACAATTAAAACTTTATCTGCAGCCAGTGCTAACTCAGATAGAAAATCAGCAAATTCTTTGATAAAGTCTGTATGGTGCCCTGGTGGCCTGTATACAGTAGCCAGTGTAGCCAGTACAGGGGATTTATCATTAACACTTGTTTCTCTAGGTAATGTTATTTGAATCACCATTACTACCATTACTTCATACTTGAAACCAGACTTCTGGAGAAATACTGAAAATATTACTATAAATTGTAGCAACACCTACCCTTTTAACTTTTGGACATGGCTCATGTTTATAACAGTAATCTTAGGGGGTAGAATAAAATAATTAATCAAATAATGTAATCATCTGGTTTTAGCCAGGTTTCTGTCAAATAGAGCACATCTAAGTTACCTGTGATCATATCATTTACAAAAAGCACTTTTGTCGAAAGGATTTTAATATTCATTAAGCCAAGATTTATCATTTGTTTATCTGTATTATTTCTGTTTTTTATTTGTTGAACATCAATTAAGTTGTTAGTTGCAAGTGTGTTGAGGCAAGTTGGAGCTAAACTCTGCAGGACCGAGTTTGGAGACCTGTGGTCTATGCAGTAATTTCCAATGGATCATCTGATAATTCGGGTTTTTTGAGGGTAAGGTAATTATCCCCCAAATTTGATGAGTAAAGATAGTTTGTATGTCACCATTCATGTCCTCAGATGAAGTAGTTGCTATAAAGAGTGGTTTGTAGGGCTGTCTTTAGAGAGAAATGCACTTTTCATATGGATTTTCATAAGAGAGTATTTGTTTTCTATTTCAGTTGGTTCATTTAAAAGTAGACATTTCAAGCTTTCTATAGATATATTTTCTAATGTCATTGTGAAAACCTTAAAAAGGTTAATTATAGATATAGTAAGACACAAACCCACCTGTTCACCACTCAGTTTCATAAAGTGTTTGAGTAAGACTACCGTAGAAGTCGGTTGGCTCAGACGATCAGGCACCACTGATTAGTTTTTATGACCCATCACTGACTTAAGGGCTTTTCGCACCGCAGGAACCTATTCAAAGTACCAGAACTAATTGTGGAACTACCCACTTTTTGGCGTGTTCGCACCGTACCGGGAGACTACCGTAAAATTACCCATAGCGCCATCTGCTGTTTTGGAAGAGGAAGTTGCTCAACTGCATTTGTGAGAAAATCTGGCCAAGAGCTTGCATAAAAGGTCGAGTGTCTCACAATCAAAACAGACCAGCATTTGTATGCACTAAATTTGTTCAAAGGTTACATGCAGTTCATAGGATTGATTGTATTTGTGAACTATGATGTATTTATATTTGTGAAGCACAATACGCTTATTTGTTACACCTCTGCGGTTTCGCTCACTCTGACCTTTGTTTGCAAATCGCTTTGTTTGCGAGTCGAATTTTCCTTTGCAAAGCAGATCAAGTTTGTTTGCAAAATACTGGATTTGTTTGTTTAATTTCGGCATATTATTCACTCCATAGGTTCTGCCTGGGTGTTAGTTGCAATTAGGTAAGGGGTATTGTGGATTATTTGGTAAATATAACAAATAATTGTATGTCTGATCTGTCTCAGTCATTACAAAGCGCAAGAAGATGTGAGAGAGAACTCAATTCAGTGTTCACATGCTAGGACATGGCTTTATGTGTCTGCGTAGCACTGGCCCAATCGGTGTAGTTTAGTCAACTGTCCCAAGCGCCATTCACGCTTAGGTCATCGGGCAGTCCTTATTGCCAAGCCCTGCATATATTTTGTACACATTTCGTTTTGCTTTGGCAAGTATTTAATTGTTTTACCCAAAGAAAATTGATGGCTTATGCAGCAGACATTATAAATAAATCAGTGTCTTCATGCAGTTAATTAATAGTCATTTGTTATATTGGCCTTTTTTCATGATATAAGCCAATATGCCAATGATTTCAAATTGATCAAAAATTGTCGATTAATATCGGCAGCTGATAAATCGGTGCATCTGTATTGAATACTAAGTCTATTCTCTCTCTTAAGTTTTATAGCATACTATTATGCTTCGATATAAGTGGATTGATGTATTTGCACCTATTGCCTTGTTTCAGGTGGCATATACCTTTGATGCTGGTCCTAATGCTGTTATTTACACCTTGCAAGACCACTTGTCAGAGTTTGTACAGGTGGTCCGTCATTTCTTTCCCCCGGAAGTCAGTGGAGAAGAGTAAGTTACAAATCAGGCATGCTGTTAGTTTTCATTTAAAAACAAATTTTGCAGCTCTCACAGAGCACAGGCACATCATGTTATGATCATAACTCTAAACTCAGTCATTTTAATTTGCAGGTTTGTCAAAGGTCTTCCTGTTTGTTCAGCTGACCTTTCTGAGGAGCTAAAGAGAGACATTAATATGGAGCCCACACCCAAGGGTATACGCTATATAATCAGCACTAAGGTAATTGTCTGAAAACAGCTGCTATCTGTACTTCATTAACTGTAAAGCATATTCATATGTCATCATCTGTATTGAGCATGTAAGGATGTCACAGACCTTGTTTGTCTCACTATATCTACATAACACTAAACCCTATATTCAGTGTTGGGAGTAACGCATTACAAAAGTAACGATATTACAGTAGTATATTACTTTTTGCTGTAACACAGTAATATAATGCATTACTAATAAAATTTGGTTAATATTATACTTGTTACAATCTCGGTAGCGCATGTTACAACAACATATTTTAACTCAAAATTAAGTGGTGAATTTACCAACACCGCAAAACAGCACCAGAGAAAAAATTCTGTGGGTAAAATAGTTTCTTTTTTCTTTTTTTTCCTGGGTCTTTGCTGGAATTCGATGGTCTGGCAGAGACTGCAGAGACGGATTCTACATTTGTTAGATGGACACATTCACATAATGCAGTAGGGCTGTCAAAAAAAGTCGAATTTAAAATAAAAATCCACATTCGAATGCAAAAACGTTGCATTCGAATTTTAGGTGTGCGTCAGGCTGTCTTTTATCAGTGGCGCACGAAATGCGACGAGAATGTAATGTTTTTGTTAGCCTATCCAGTTGAACCCACTAGATGCGGCGCTGCTACGTTGTTCATTCAAAATATTACAGAAAAAGAGAACAATCAATGATGTTGTTTACGTCAAAACCGAAACCAAGCCGTTCACACAGAACGCATATTCATCGCATTTTCTAGAGGAGCAGGATATTATTGTCGTGGTCATCAATTACAATATCATGCCGTTATAGTTACTGATTATGAGCAAGGTAACTAGATCGACAGTTTAAGGCAGTAACATGTAAGCAAAAGCAAGGCTCTTGTCTGTAAAATCAAACAACACTGTATTGGACTACTCTACTACACACAACTAATCTAACGAACACACACACACACACACACACACACAGCAGTGAAGAAAGGGGTGATGTTACAGAGGTTGACTGGATTCCTGAATAACCAACATTCTACACTATTTCCTAAACTGCAACCTGAGAGAAAGTGTAATACTAGCACTAGGGGTGGGCGATATAGCCTCAAAATTATATCACAATATTTTTACAAATATTTGCGATAATGATATTTATGACGATATAGAAAAAAAACATGGAACAATGTTTTATTGGTGATTGCAGCTGGCAGGCAGCAGCATTTATTAGTGCAAACAAAATGAAGGGCATTTTCCATCCTTTTCCAATGAGCTACTGTCATCGATGACAGACTAATTCGAAGTGTAAATCTATTGTCATAAGGTGAAAGCAGCAGCGTTATAGTGCAATAGTAGTGACTCAGTAACACAGCATGAGTCAAATGTAGCCTTGGTAGTGCTTTCCCTGGAAATCTTGAGTAAAAGTGTAACATAACTCCTTAACACTTTAGTTTAACAATAACTAAAGTAATTTAACATTGTAACTCTTCGGGAGCCTGCACAATATTGTCACCTAATAAAATTGAACTAAAATTTTAAGTACAAATGTGTGATGAGTGGGGCGGGGCCAAGAGCCGCGGGAACAGAGCGAGGCCAGTGTCACACTGAAGCTGTGTGATTTTCATAGTAGTGCACCCTTTAAGCTCACCTTACAATAATATGAAATCTTTAAAAATGACAGCAGTATAAAACCACAGACCAGCAATAAACTGTAAATGTATAATATTATGGATTTAAAAGTACAAGCCAGTAATGCCTGTGAAGTAATATATTAGTGTAGCACACAATCTTATACAGCTAGTCAGCTAACTGTGTTCTGTAGCATCTGCGCTGTGTTGCTAAAACTATCTTTTGGATTTAACTGTAATTATTTACAACTTCCAAGTTCCAGGTTATAATATGCAGAAGTCTAAACATTAATCTCTTAATTTTACAGTAAGTAGTGAAATTTACCCAAAATAAAGGCTTAAACATCTAAAAAATGCACATTTAAAGGGCTCCTCTTTTGGTGAAAGTTTTCAGACAGCTTTCAAAATGGCCGCCGGACAGTGTGTAGCCTACACATGGACAGCCATATCTCAGTGTGCAATGATCTGATTGACTTGAAATTACAGGAGGCATGTGGTAACAAACACATCAATACATTAATTTTTCTTTTTATAATCTGAGCTCAAATATGGAAGTGTGCTTAATGGGTACGTGAGCTTAATAGGTACGTTTACCCTATCTTAACAACACTGACAAATTAATAATATTCAGTAGAGGATCTATGACTTCTGGAAGCACCTGTTTTAAAAGCTTAGATGGAATAGGGTCTAACATACATGTTGTAGATTTTGATGATTTGACAATTTTATACAATTCTTCCTGTCCTATAGCAGAGAATGAGTGGAATTGTTCCTCAGGGGGTCTATAGTGCATTATCTGATGCGATACTGTGGCTGACGGCTGCATGGTTATAATTTTCTCTAATATAATATAGTATCGATCTTGGAAGTAAAGAAGTTCATAAAATCATTACTGCTGTGCTATTGGGAAATGTCTGCATCTGTTGATGCTTTATTTTTCGTTAATTTAGCCACTGTATGGAATAAATTCCTGGGGTTGTATTTGTTCTCTTCTAAGAGAGACGAAAGTAAGTAGATTTTGCTAGAAGTTTTTAGAGCTTTTGCTAGAAAAGAGAGAGTCATTAGTTTCTGTTACACCGTCAAGTTTTTCTGAGCTATTGGATATGCTGAGGAATTGAGACAAGTCAGGAAGATTATTTACAAAGCAGTCTTTTGTGGTAGAAGTGATGGTTCTACCATATTTGTAACAAGGAGTTGAGTTTGCAGCTTTAGCTATATAGAGTATACATGAGATTGGATAATGATCTGAGATAGCGTCACTCTGCTGCAGAATTTCAACGCCATTAACATCAATTCCATGTGACAGTATTAAATCTAAAGTATGATTACGACAACGAGTAGGCCCTGACATGATCCCAATGCATCTTTTTCATTATCAACATGGATATTAAAATCACCAACAACAATTAAAACTTTATCTGCAGCCAGTGCTAACTCAGATAGAAAATCAGCAAATTCTTTGATAAAGTCTGTATGGTGCC